GTCGGCAGGAACTGCAACCTAACCCAGATCAGACTGCCTCCAAGCTCGGCTTTCATCTGAGCCAGTGGGTATTGTAGCCTGGCATAGCACTTCCCAACCATTTTCCCAGTTCTCATGTGCACTGGTGGATGCTACAGCCTAGCCCAGTGTGGGTTGTCCTCTGTCCCAGTTATAGCTGACAGATGTTGCAGCCTAGGCCATCCCATCCCATCCCATCCCTCAGTTCTCCAGCAGACCAGTTGATGCTGTGGCCTAGTATGGGCAATTCCAAATAACCCCTACCAGGCCCACCCCCAATCCCAGTTCTTGAACATTGTGGCAGGTGCTATGGTTCAGCCAGGCATGGCCTACCTCCAGCCCCAGTTTTGTGTATGCTGGTAGGTCTGTGACCTAGTTCAACCTGTCTCACCTTCAGTCTGGCTCTTGCCAGTGGGTCCTGCAGCCTATCCCAATATGACCTGATCTGTGTGCCCCTCTCCTTGCTTTTATGTGTGCACTAGTGAGTGTCTGCTCTCAGCCCTGGCTCTGTGTACCTTGGTCTGATCCAGAGAAGCCTCCTGATTTGCCCCATCCAATCAATCTACCTGATGCCATATCCTCCAGATTGCTTGCCAGTGCAGTAGCTTGGGTCCATGGAAACCCCCAGTAAAAACACCCAGTAAATACATGTCAAACAAGTCCCTGGGGTCCCCATTCCTATATATGCACAGACTCCCCGGCCTGGGCAATGCACAGCCCCACCATGAGCCCTGTGCCTGCTGGGCTTGAAGGCGGCCCCATTCAGTATAACTTAATCCCTTGTTCTTTAAGAGAAATCTTATTTATCTCAGCTGGTTTCAGAGGCTTGGCCAGGACTGTTTGTTCAAGAAGGACCCTGTCTGTATTCAGTAGCAGTAGCTGTACTCAGCAGGATCCCTGTGGGGAGTGTTAAATTTAAAGGAAGGGATTAGGACTGGGATGGATTCTTCAGCTACCACTCCCCTTTTGGAAAGTTTCCTTCCAGGGACAGACTTGAAGGTGCCAAGTTATGCTTTACAAAACAAGTCAGCTTGTCCTTACAGATCTTTCTCTGTAAAGACCTCTAGGCTGTCCAACTTGTCTAACATTGGAGACAGGAATCTCAGTGAAGTAGAAAATACAATAAGATCACACTGTCTTGCACTATGTTCCTCTTTTGAAAATGTAGGTATGTGATTGTGACTTGGTATACACAGTGGCACTTAAACATAAAGAGGTGTTAACTCTTTCTAGCTTATGCTCAGAGTTCAAAGTGTATGTGGTAGATATGTGTGGAAAAGGAACATGGAAAGCAAATATGGGAAATGCTGACATTTGGGAAATTTGGGTGAAAGGTTTATGAGCATTCTTTTTACTATGTTTACAGGGTTTGGGTTTTCTTTTTTGGATATGTGTAAGTTTAAAGTTCTTTCTGAAGAAAGGGTTAAATCTTTGCATGCAAGCACAAGAATATAGAAAATAGAATGAGAAGTTTAATTTGTCACATATCCCTATGAAAGATCTTCAAGAGTGACAAAATGTGTATTATAAAATAAATATTTATGAACTTAACATTTTTGTGCACAAGCAACCCTTTTAATTACGTTTTCCCACAGATTGTTTAAAAATTTCTATCATATTTATTAATTCTGAATAACATACTGTTGTACAGATAAACTGTAAAGGTATTTAACTAGACTTCCGTTGCTGGGTATCTGATAATTCCCACCATATCTTCATGATTTGGGGTTTTTTTTTTTTTTTAGATTTTATTATTTTATTTTTATTTTTATTTATTTATTTCTTTTATTGGAAAGGCAGATATACAGAGAAGAGAGACAGAGAGGAAGATCTTCCGTCTGATGATTCACTCCCCAAGTGAGCGCAATGGCTGATGCTATGCCGGTCTGAAGCCAGGAACCTCTTCTGGGTCTCCCACACGGGTGCAGGGTCCCAAAGCTTTGGGCCATCCTGGACTGCTTTCCCGGGCCACAGGCAGGGAGCTGGATAGGAAGCGGGGCTGCCGGGATTAGAACCGGCACCCATATGGGATCCCGGGCGTGCAAGGCAAGGACCTTAGCCACTAGGCCAATCGCGCCGGGTCCAGTCTTCATGATTTGGAAATGGAATTCTTGTTCCCTGTTGAAACAACCACATTTCCATAATGGACCTTGTAGGAAAAAAAATCTCAATAAACTAAGAAACTAGGACCTTATCGAAATGGCTTACATATGGCTGTTTAGTAGTTACTAACTGATAATAAGCCTTCAAAAAATGTCTTCAGTTAGTCTTTGGTTCATCCCATGTAATAAAACTGTTGTAAGGCAGTGAATGTTTTGGTAGCATGAAACATCTGCTGCAGTGTCGGCTGCTTGCGTGATTAAGGATCTTAAAGTGTCTCGAAGGCAGAGCTCTCTGACCTCATTCTGTTGGAAATAGCAAGCTGATCCTTTTTGCCTCAGATATGTTTCACTATTCATTTTGCATATTTTCACTGGATTCTCATTTGTTTTCTAACAACAGATAGGACAAAAGGAACATTTGGGTAGTTTTGATTTGTCTCCAAATTTTATTTTTTTTCTAATGAAATGTGTAATAAATAAAATTTTTCTTTTACATAAAAATGGCAAGTCATTTCTGGGTCTGACGTTTGTAATAAAATAGGGTATTAATCTTTGGTCTGGATTTTAAACATTCTTTAACAATTTGAAGAAGTTAAAATTAGGTCTGGTTGTTTACATGCGTAATTTAAGTTTGGACTCCAGTGGGCCCAGCAGATATGAGGGATATCCTGGATTTTCTTCAGTTATACTTCCAAAAATGCTGGTCCCAGCTCAGCAAAAACAAACTGCAAATATTTCAATGAAACCATTTCCAGGACGTTTTACCTGTTTAACAGATAGGTCTAGGAAGTTAAAATCACATTTGAATTTTGCCATATCCTTTAGATCGAGTTACAGGGTGGGTGGTGTGACTGTCATATGCTTGTTACTTTCCTTCTTCCTAAAAGTGTACTGGGATGAGAGACAGGCTAGGTTTATAAACCCCAGCCATGAAATAGCAGCCAATGCTGTATCAAATGTTGCTCTTAAGTTAGCTGGGCAAAGACTCCTATTTCATCTATTCTAGCTGCGAGGTAGGCTCTATTCAAGTGCAAGGAAGAGGAGTGCTTTTGGCTGGCTGTGGCAACAATGTGGAAGGTTGTACAGTGCTTGCTGTGCTATTTTCAGGCCCCTGGCTCATGCATTGACACAACAACAAGCATTACTTTTCCATTGAAAACCACAAAGTCATGCATATAGTCCAGGAAAGGTATTTTAGTGTGTTTAACTTTACTGGTTTTGTTTGTTTGTTTATTGGTTTGAGCTCCAAGGTACATAGACTAAGAAATGACAGTCACTAGGCCCTGATACTAGTGATAAAACCAACAGCAACTTTACTTGCTTGCGAGGATAAAAAAAGAGAGTGTTTTTTCTTTTTTTCCTCCAAGACATGAAATAATTAGATTGCTGTCCCTGAGAGTCTTGCTCATGGAAGATTTTGCATACACGTGTAATACAGTTGACTGAAGATAGACTTATAGACATCTGTAAAATGAATTTGGAGAGGTTAGACTATTTGAAAAACAGAAGGTTATCCCTGATTGAACTTTGACCTGATAGTGGACCCTTTGAAGTGTTTGATGATGACTTTGCCTCACTGTTCATTTCAGTTGGCTCATTACTCAGACATTGTGGCTTTGAGGTAGCTGACTGTAACACATATTTTAATCTCTGCTTTGTTCTGTTGTTGCTACATATTGTTTCCTTACATTTGCTGATTTTCTCATTTTTAAAAAAATTGCTATTAAAAAAATTATTTTGAAAGGCTGAGTTACAGAGAGATTGATCTTCCATCCTCTGGCTCACTACCCCAAAGGGCTGCAACAACCAGAGCTGGGCCAGTCCAAAGCCAGGGATCATAAACAGCTGCTGGGTCTCCCTTGTGGGTGCAGAGACCCAAGCACTTGGGTTATTGTCCACTACTTTCCTCAGCTATTTACAGGGAGCTGAATCAGAAGTGGAGCAGCCAAGACGAAAACCAGTGCCCATATAGGATGTTGGTGCTGCAGGTGAAGGTTTAGCTTATTAATAGGGGCCCCTAACTTTTATTTATTTGAAAGATAAAAAGTGACAGAGAAATGGGTCCAGCTTTGTGATCATAGTGAGTTAAGCTGCCACCTGCAGTGCCCACCTCCTATATGAATGCCCGTTCATGTCCCAGCCACCCCACTTCTAATCCAGTTTCCTGATAGTGGCCTGAGAAAGCAGCAAAAAAATGGACCAACTGGTTAGGCTCTTGCCACCCACTTGGAGACTGAAGAAACTCCTGTCTTCAGCTTTTCCCAACCATGGCTGTTGCAGTGATTTGAGGAATAAACTGACAGATGAGAAAACTCTTCCCTCTCTATAATTCTACCTTTCAAATAAATAGATAAATAAATCTTATAGAGAGAAATTTCCCAGTTGCTGGATCACTGCACAGAGAGCCTACTGTTGCTGGAGCTGGACCGAATGAAGACAATGGCTAGGAACTCAGTACTGGTCTCCCGCATGGGCGGCAGGGACCCAAGCACATGAGCCATCACTACTGTCTTCCAGTTTGTATGTTAACAGGAAGCTGAAACTATAAGCAGAGCTGGGACTTAGATCTAGCACTCCAATGTGGAATGCAGGCCTGCTAAGTGGTATCTTAGCCACTGTGCCAAGCATCCACACCCAATATTCTGTGACATATGTACTTTGAAAATTTTCTGTTTGAAGAACACAATCTGCCACTGTTGGCAGCATTGCTATTTCCTTCCAATATTGTCAGGCTGATCCCTTTGCTCCTATTTATCTATAATGGAACATTCTAACACTTAGCTGGTAAAGTTAGACCCAGAGGTGAGCCCACCTATGAGAATGTTGTGCCATCTTTGACCTGTTGTTCTGTACTAATATTTTTTTGCTTTTCATTTTCAGCAGACTTATTCCAATGAAGCCCATTGTGTTGAAGAAATTCTGAAGGTGAGTTCATTGTTAACTATTTTTCATTTGAAATAGTTTTTAGTGAGACAGGCCTATGTCCATTTACACTCATTCTGCCATTTCCACCACGTTTAAATTCCCCTCAGCCTGCCTCGCCCCCCCCCCCTCCCGCCCCCGTCACTCCTCATACGCACATATAAACTTCCAGGAGCAAAATAAAACAAATAATAGCAAATGGAGACTTGAAGCATTATTCAGTTTTCTAACAGATTGTATTGATTAAAGTGGATTGTACAGACTGTCAGCCTCTTGGATCAGGATTTTATGACATCCCAACTTTTTCTGGCTGTCCACAGACACTGGAAAGTTGCTTGCTTCCCAGAGAGGCAACCCCTGCATTGATGTGGCAGGGAAAACACAAGCTATTAAATCACACTTGATTGATATATCATGCTGTTTTATAGATGATGCCTTGTCTGGGTGGCCAATGAAGCCATGAAACTTAAAGGTATAAAAATAGTGGGAAGTAAATGGACATCTTTAGAGGGTTTATTTGTTTCTGAGTATTAAGACTGTGTCATGAGCATTTGTGCTCCTTCAGATATGTCGTTGAGTATGTTACCAATTTGTTCAGCGTTTCTTGCACAAGGATGACAGATTCCTTCTAGAATTCATCTTGGTGCTTGGGGCAGTGTATAAACTCTCTTGATTTGGCTTTTCCTTTTATCAGAAAAGGATTAGATAAACTATGTGTTTCTTATTTTGGTTTTAATTCCTAGGAGATCAAACTTCCTTTTAATGCGCACACACAATCATTGTAATAATTGAGGATTTTGTGTATTTGTTTTGTATTCTTTCTGTATGATTTTAATTTGCTTCCATGTCAACTTAGTTTATTTATTAATTGAAAGAGTTAGACTCTTCCGTTTCTTGTTTTGCTCTCCAGATGGCTGCAATGGCCAGTGCTGAACCAGGCTAAAGCCAGGAGCAGGGAACTTCTTCCAAGTCTCCCATGTGGACCATCAGGGAGCTGGATCAGAAATGGAGCAATGGGGACACAACCCGTTGCTCATATGGGACATTATTTATTGCATGTGGCAGTTTAATTCATTGAGCCACAACTCTGGTCCTATTGTGTTTTTTATAAGGCTTCTAATTTGTTTTCATTTTTTCCCCTTGAATACAGTAAGAGAGATGACACGTGTGTATCAACTGGAATTTCTTCTGTTGCTTTTTTCCTTCAAAATATACATAGATTCATTTTCTTTCAGTTTTTATTTGAAGTATCAGTTGATGGTAGTGCCGAGTTATCTTGTCCATTATATTGATTATCTTCTCACATGTGATATTTTTTATAGTTAGAATTTTCTGAAAGAGCCCTCTAAGGAATCATGGCTTGAGGTACTGAAAAAGAATTTTACTCCAAAGTGGGGCATGTATACCTGAACTAGGGCATTAACAGCTAGGCTAACTGTTCCAGATGAACATTGTTTTAATTCAGTGAACCCATCTCTCTAGTCCTGTTCTTCATATATAATGTCTCGATAATTAATTTTTGCTTACTTGCAAACACTTGAGAAAAAGTAAGCAAGGAATGTGTTTTCACTTGAAAGTCACACATTATTGGGAAAATAAACAGAAAGAAGGCTATTTGGGACTGAAGAGTCTATTACTTTTCTTCATAGAAATTGAATGTCTATCTCCTTCTTTCCTCTGTGACCACTGCTAGGGCATCTGTTCTACTTGGATCTTGGTTTTCTCATGATTAGCTGAAGGTTCTGGGCTGTAGCTGATCATTAGAGCCCATGCCAGGTTGTTCCATCTGGTGTTTGTCCTGATATTTGCTCCTGCATTGTGGTTCCCTTTCTTGTCATCTACCAGCAGTTCGGAAGCTTGCCAGGAATAGAAACAGGATTCTTTCTGATGGTGATAGAGGCAATACATAGCAGATATTGGTTCTCTAGGGGCAGTATTTAGGCTGAAAGCACTCAAGAAAGGAAGTGGTAGCTTGTAACTCCTACTGGCTGATGGGGAATGATGATAGCAGACAGGCACTGCTAGTATCCTGGGAAGGGTCATGCATGAGGAGCCAAAGAAGACAGTGTGCCTCAGAGGGCATGTGGAAATTGTTCGATATTCTGCTTATTATTGCTGTGGCCTTGATAGCTACCTGAGGAACCAAAATGATTCTAGGTGGCATTGCCTTTGCAGCATCCCAGAGATGCTGGTACAGTGAGTGGAAACATTCAGCTTTTTTTTTTTTTTTCCTTTCAATCACTGATCCAGAAAATATTTGTTAAGTCTCCAGATACTTTTCTAGGACCTATGATGCTATGGTGAAGAATATAAGTTAGATTCCTTGTCACAAAGATTAGGGTGGGAAGAATAACTACACATTATAATGTTTGGATATTGGTATGGCGCTGTGAATCATGAAGCATGGCAATGAACAGTGCTTCAAGGATGGAATAAATTAGTTTTATAAAAGAACCTTCTAGAACTTGATATTGTGATCAAAAAGAAGACAGCTGCAGTGGGACCTAGAATGGCTTTGCCAAGGCAGATGTCAAATGCTTTGTCTCCAACCACATGGTAAGTCATTGTTAAGACAGTGCAAAACCATAGCTTGAGGACTCTGGGCAGCCTTTTCTCAATAGTAATGACCCCAATTTCCCAAAGCCTAAATTTCTCAGGCAAATTAGGCATTTAAGGAAGTGTATAAATTCTTTCAGCCTACTAGTGAGCCACTTAAGAACTGAAAGACTTTATGCACTTTCCAACTGCCCAATTTAATAACTGGGACAGCCTTACATACTGAGAACACAATGGATATTGCTTGAGAATAATTAGTGACTAAAAAGTCCATTGAGAACATTGGAAATCTAAAAAATTCTTGAAAACCATAGGTGATGCTTTCAAGGGCATTCTCAATGAGCTGTTATTTTTATGTTGTTGCATTATGATGGTTGCATACCTTAAAGCATTGACAAACAGCAGGAAGCTTTCTTTGGTGTGATTTTGAAATGTTTTTAAAATTAGAATTTTAACTAAGAGATATAGCACTTTTATTAAACGGATTTCCTGTGTACCATGTGTCTAAATCGCTACATAAAATACCTCTGAAATATAAGTGGTCCCAGTCTCCTCTTTTTAAAAAAAATATTTGAGATTCAGAGAGACAGACAGATGAAGGAAGGAGGCTCTCATGCTGGTTCACTTTCCAAATGACCATGATGACTGGAACTCAACAGATCAAGGCCAGTGCAGAAAGCTGAAGTCGGAAGCCAGAGCCAGAGTTGAACCCAGCCTCTCTGACATGGAGCACAGGCATCCTAATCCCATTGTCCACTTCTCAGAATTGAAACTCAAAGTTCAGCCAATTTATTTGGCTGAAACTGCTGCTTCAGGCCAGAGTTAGCACTCCAGTCAGTGTCTCTGACTTTAGGATTATTACTCTTTCTAGTACATTTTAGTGCACAATTCCCATTCTATCCCAAACAAATAGGTGACTTGTTAATGGATGAGGCAATGATTTCACTTTTGTAAAAATTCCGTAATTGTGGCCAGCATTGGGGCAGGTGAAACAACCATGTGGGATATACCATCCATATTATAGTTCAAGTTCTAGCTGCTCCACTCCAAATCCAGCAACCTGATAATGTGCCTTGGGAAAGCAGTGGAAAATGACCCAAGTACTTGAGCCCCTGCCATCCCTGTAGGAGACTTAGCTTAAGTTTTTTTTTTTTTTTTTTTAAGATTTATTTTATTTTTATTGCAAAGTCAGGTATGCAGAGAGGAGAAGAGATAGAGAGGAAGATCTTCTGTCCGGTGATTCACTGCCCAAGTGACCACAATGGCCAGAGCTGTGCCGATCTGAAGCCAGGAATCAGGAACTTCTAGGTCTCCCATGCGGATGCAAGATCCCAATGCTTTGAGCCATCCTCGATTGCTTTCCCAGGACATAAGCAGGGAGCTGAATGGGAAGCGGGGTTGTGGGATTAGAACCCATGACCACATGGGATCCCAGTGCATGCAAAGTGAGAATTTTAGTCGCTAGGCCACCGTGCTGGACCCTTAGCTAAAATTTTAAATTGGTGACTGGCCTGAACCACTGTGACCTCTTGGGGGTGAACTGCCACATGAAAGATGTCTTTCTCTGTGCTGTCCTTCCCCATCACTCTCCCATTCAAACTAAGTGCCACAACTCTGTGGCACTTTTTAAGATAAATCTTAAAAGGTAAAAATGAAAAAGCTCAGTTACTTTCATTAGTTTCAGATGATTTCTGAGAGGAAGAGGAGAGAGAATGCACATGTGTGAAAGGTTGATTTTTCATCTACTAGTTTCCCAAATGCCTGTAGCATTTAGGTCTGTGCCAACTGTAGCTAGGATCCCAGAACTCAGTCTACATCTCTAATGGGCATCAGAGACCCAAGCTTTCAAGCCATCATCTACTCTTTGCTTGGCTGTGCACTGGCAGAGGTTCTGGGACTCAAACTAGGCATTCCATATGGGATGAAGGTATCTTAGCCATTCATTCAAATACCTGCCCCTAATTTTACTCTTTAGCAGTATCAGGTTGCTTGTCACTGTGCAGGATCACTTTTGCCTGTGCCAGGACTCTAACCTGCAGAATAGCAGTAGGGAAGGCAAAGGAAGTGGTAAGTCCATCTCCAGCTATTGTAACAGCTGATGATACTCTTATGGAAATATGCTAGCCAGAACCTTGCCGAGTGAGATGATACCACATGCTCTGGAATCACTTACTCACTAGGAGAAGTTGCCTATTAGTCATTATACTGCCTTGCCAGCAAGGTCTGACATGTGTGGGAAGCAGCTTTTTTCTTAGATCCACAGGGTCAAGGAGCTTCTAAACTGTGCTCTTATCAAACTTTGGCCTTAGCACCATTATTTGGGATTTCATTTTTCTTATCTGTAAAATATTGCATTTGGAGCAAATGATCTCAATGCCATTTTAGCCCCTTTAAAAAGGGAGTATACAACATGCATGTATTTATGATTATTAGCTGACAATGTATTTTAAAATTTTATTTAAAGGGAACAGTTTCTTGCATTTAATAGATACGGGTTTAGAAGCATGATAAGACTCCCCACCCTACCCTCACTCCCTCAGATATAATCCATTTTCTACAACTATTCTGCAAGGCAAAATAAATTTCATGAATGGGTTTGAGAAAACTCAGTTAACATAAATACTTGTATGTTAAAATGTAAGTTTTAGAAATAGTACTCTCAACCAGAAAAAAAAAAGAAAAAACAACAAAATTAAACTTTTCTTGATGAACAGAAAAGTAATTTTTAAAGGCCCTTCTCCTGTGCCAGTAGTGTATATCAGAGAAGGGTCAAATCCATTAAAACTCTTCCAAGTGCAACAAGTGACCTGAATTACTTGTTTGCTTAAGTCAAACAGGAAAGGTCTTCTTCCTTTGAACTTAAATAATTCCAGGAAATGCAATAAAGAAGCTGAGGGAGAAAGACTTCATTGAGTTGAGATTGCTTTTCCAGCACAACATGTCATTTAAGTCTTCATGGTTACATAAGCTCTAGCAATTCTGACTACGGTTTATGTCCTCTGCTATGTTCACAGTGTGAAATCCGTACATGCATTGTTTCTTCAGCCTAATCCTTTCCCGTTTTGAATGTTGGAAATCTTCAGTTTTTGAACACAGCCCATTAAAACAGGCGTTCAACTTCTAAAGCAGGCTACGTTTTTCGTTTACTGTCACTCCATTCTACATTAAGTTTAAAAAGTTAACTTAAGTAGCTGTTGATGTTTGATATAATTTATTTTTTTTCTTCCCTTTCCAAATTTCTTTCCAGGAAATGACCCATTCATGGCCTCCTCCTTTGACAGCAATACATACGCCTAGTACAGCTGAGCCTTCCAAATTTCCTTTCCCCACAAAGGTAATTCCTTACAAGACTTGCAGGCACTGCATCCCCCACAGTCTGAGATATTGCTGTGAGCCAGATGGATGAAGTATTACTTGTTAAAATCATTGGAGCGAAGGTTAAAATTATGATTAATTTAGTCTCTGCTGTACTTCATGGTGCTTTAAGCTCTTTACTCTCCAACCTTTGTGAATAAGACTATCTTATCTTAGATTTGTTGAGGGCTTCGTAACTTGTAAAAGCATTCAAAATAAAAACCTTCCTGTACGTTTCTCATTTGATAATTTCTACTTTCGAGACAGAAAATGGAAATACGTGAAGTACACTGAGTCAGATATATACACTCACTCCTTACACTTAATGCAGTTGGTTTAATATTACCAACTGCATTAGAGCTGGGTTATATAACAATCCAAGAGACTGCCAACCTTTTTGTTTCTCTTAAAATATTGTGAACAATGTGTTAGAACTCTGCCATTTTCCCTATTGTTGGTTTTTACTTTTATTTAGCCTTGAGAATGTAGAAATAACCCCTTCAGATCTTGTGCTCTGTCCAGGCTGGTATGCATGTACGTGGTTTTGTATACAAAAATACATATATGTAGGTATGTACCATGTGCATATTTATAAATATTCCTATCCCTGTTACTGCTGTAGAAAATGTTTTATCCACATAAAGCCCAAATTTGATATAAGGTAGATATTTTACCTATTTCCCAATGAAAGCTGTTGCGCTTTTTTAGGATGATTCATTGCTATTGGTTTCTAACTAAAGCATCAAACTCTCTTAAATTATTTTTGCTTACCCCCAAGGGAAAAAATAAAGTCTGGGTAAGAACAGTGATAATAAAACCATTCATGTAAAGTTGGACTGAATCAGTGTTGCAGCCTGTGCATCAAAAAGTGATAAGGAGTACATAGGGAAGTGTGAATTATAAAATCTGTGTGGCAGGTAGTATAAAGGGAATAGTCTCTGCATATTTAATATACATGTGAAAGTTTTATGAAATTTCAGTATTGAAGCATCTACGGTTTTTCCTTACATTTATGTACCATAATGTGTTTATGACATTTTTCTCTCTAGGATTCTCAACACATCACTTCTGCAACCCAAAACCAAAGTAAGTAATTATCTGAAACACCAGGCATATGTTTTCCTATTTAGAAGGTATTGTAGCAAATCAGTTTGTCATTACCTGACTGATACTGTTGTAACTGTAGAATTATATACAATATTGGTTTGAAGTGTTTTGTGTGGTTCTTGTATTTTTTTCCTTAAAATTTCTTAAAATTACACATTTCTGTAAGAAACTCAGCACACATCTTGTGCAGCTATATTTTTATTTACGTTTGCCTAGCGATTATTTCTTATCTCTCTTTATGAATTGTGTATACCTGAAAATTCAAGGGGAGATACAAAGAGTTAACAGAATCCAGCTTTTCTTTGCAATAATAACCCTTTAAATCAATAAATTCTATGTGACTTCACCATGAGATAATGTGTCAAGCCTTAGAAAATGCCTAGGATATTTATATTCATTCAGTTCATCAAAATACAGCAGCAGGAATAAGCCACTTGCATACATGAAGCTAGCTGTGCTGAGGGCCAGCTGGCTAAGTGAAATGTATGGCATGAATGTGCATGTCGTAAAGGATGTGCAGATATTCACCTAGAGGTGACTTTTTTTTGCATCTTCCCCATCTCCTCTTCCTCTCTCACTTTTCCCCCTTTGATTACTTCATTGTTTGAATTGAAGGGTATGAGAAGAAAAAGATTAGGAAAAGAAAAAAAAATAAAGCACCTGTTCTATAGAACAAGGAATGGAGATGAGTGAGAGCCTGAGGGTGGCACCTGCGCTGCAACTCAAGGTTTTGTAAATAACATTGTATTGGGATCGCAGCTTGCCCATTTTCTGAACAAAGTGTAGCACACAAAACATGAGATATTTGCTCTCTGACCTCTGTAGAAAAGTTTAGCGGGTTTGCTCCTGTTGAGATCCTGAGTAAGGTCGTGCAGAGCACTCCTAGCTAAATTTTCCCCAACGGAGAGAAATAACCCTGGCTACATTGCTTCAGTATTATGTAAATAGCAAGGTGAAATGAACTGAAATTGATGGCAGTTTAGAGATTGGGAAATCGTTTTACTCAACATCTTGGCAGCTAACCCAAGGACAGATGGCCGGTTAAGTGGCACAGGTTGGAAGGAGACGCTAACTGGCCTGAGAACAGAGTTGCTGTGTGTGTGTCCCTTTGCCTCATGCTTTCCCTCTTCCTGCCTCTGCTAGGGCCTGCCAGTCATACAGATTATATGCCTTCTGTCAGATTCTTGATGCCTTGTGTGATTGCAAGCTGATTCCTCATTTTTGTGATGAGAATTCTGACAGTGGCCGGTCCCCTGTTTGTGTTGGCTCAACAGCACCCCATCTTGGGATCTTTTGTGCTTGCTGCCATTTTGTTGGTTTTCTGGTTTATGGTATTCTGGTTGATTGTTTATCTTTGTGAGACTATGATCTTTGGGATCTGATTGCAAGAGGTATAACTGTGTTTGGGGTGTGGATCGATAGAGCTCTGGTCCTATGGTGCACATTATTTTGAAAATTTGAGAGGGAAGTGGTAGAGATTTTACTTGTATGCCTCTCTATTTATGCCCACATTTGCAAAACATGTGTTCCTAGACTTACCCAGAACCTGTGGACTTTAGAACCTAGCAAGATGACAATGTGGGAGGCCTGTGCATGGTCAAAAAAGTGACTTGACTCCGCTAATTTGTATCTCTGTTCCCCACTTTTTAATGTGAGGGAAATGGAATTTGAAGTTATCTGTAAGAACTGCTGCCACCGTGAGGTTCAAACAATTCATTGCAAATATGTAACAATCTCCATTGGCTCTTCATGAGCCAAAGCAGTCATCCTTGGCTAAAAGGCACCCCTCTATTTTCCTTCTCATTTCCAGTTCTGTTTTGGTCCTCATTACCTCATGTCTAGACAACTAGAGCCACCTTCAGACTGGATTGTCAACTATTGCCTCCATAGTTACCATTGCCTACTCTAAGTAGATCAGGAAGTACCCCTGGATGAATTTTCCTGAGGAACCACTGTATCATGTCTTGTTAGAGCACTGAGAATTCCAGAGCCCAACAAGAAGCCCCAGCTTCCTATCCTGGCATTCAGAGCTCTCTGCAGTCTGTGTTCTGCCTGCCTTACAGTCTTCTCCACCACAGTTTTGCGCTGGGCATTACCCTTCCCAGATCTACAGTTGAATTCTTCCGACTTTACTTTTGGTCATGCTTTATCTCCTTCCTAATGTAGGCCTTACCCATTTTCCTGCAGGCACCTGTCAGAATTTTATCCATCTTTAGTGACAGCTTTATTCTTTTTCTAATTTGTCATCTTTTGGTCATTACCAACTCATTAAGTGACCTTTTGACCCCCCTCCCAGTAGAATGAGTTTATGGAATTGACTTGTGTACTTAAATCACACTGCCCAAAGCAGTAGACACTTGGTACAAATCTTTCATGTTCGTCAGTCAACTGTCGCTTCACTGAAGACAGAGCCGAAGGACTTTCACTTATTGGCATATACAAAGAGAGTCTGTTAATAGGTATGATGTGAATGAGTTGAGGGTGCATGAAAAGGATTGTCTAATGAAACTGCCACTAGAAAGGAAACCAGGCTCAGCCAGGGACAGAGGAGTGACATCAAACCACTCCTAGATGCTAGCAGTCCTTCCAGCTCTGAGCTGGGAGCCCCTATCAGTTGTCATCGACAGTCAAGTCTCTCAGGCATACTGCAAGCACTGTTTTTCAAGGTATTTTTGAAGCCTTTATTAAGAGGTTTTTTGTTTGTTTAATTCTGCCAAAGCCTTCATAGAAGGAGTGAAAGTTTTGTCTGCCGTGGAAAGACTGCCCCAGGGGTAGTATTCTGGCCTGATTGACAGCACTGTGGTCAACAAGCTTCACACCAAGTGTTTATGTAAAGTGGAAAGATACAAAGAGAACTTGAATGCCAGTTTCCTAGATAGCTGTCATTGTGCAGCTCTGATCGTGTTTCTCTCCTCCACAGAGCAGTATGAGACATCTTCCAAAACCCACCTTACTTCTCAGCAGGGGACATCGTAAGTAAAATGATTCTGTTTGTTCCGAGTTTCTAACATGACATTGGAAATGCAATTTCTGTATGTAAATGTGTTGTTCACAGTTAGGTTTTCTGCTTTCAAGTTGACATTCTGCAACTGCTGCTGCAGTATAAATGGAGGAATCGACCTACATTTATACATATCCAGACTAAGTTCTCGGATTGAAGGCTTATGCACTCCAATTTGTTAAGTGTTTTGTGAAAAGAAAAGTTTTTGAGTCATTGTTTCTATAATAATTGTGGGAAACAGAAGGCTTTCTTTGCCTTTTAAATGTTTAGTCCTAAATAGCCTTAGTGTTAAACAAGTTTGGGGGAATGTACACAAATTTTTTTTTTCTTGTTCTATGAAAAAAGAGCAAGGCCTGTTGCTCTAGATATTCTTTATTAAAGCCAAGGAAGTCTAGATACATTTCTGGTTATTGCAAAACTTTAGACTGCATGTTAAAGGCCTTCAAAATAGCACTTTGGCCCAGTTTGTCATTTCTTGATGGTATTGAATGACTGTTTCTATCCTTTTCTACAAGTGGATGTGGTGGTTGGAGGGCAGAGTTAGGAAGTTGTGCCCTCCGGCAGCATCTGGTCACTGGGCAGCGCTGCCAGGTGCTGTTCTTGGGCTTCCAGAGTCCTCGTTCTAGCCTGCCTCTCCTTTCAGGCACAGTGTTCGTGGACTGCGTGGCTTGTGTGAAAACCGTATAGCTGGTCTGAAGAAGTTAGTTACCTTCTTACAGTGGCTGAAGAGGTGGTTGGCTTATAGAAATGTCAAATAGGTAGTCACAGGACGTGGTTAAGAACTTGCATTTTCTAACATATCAGTCACTCAATACCATGTCAGTTAACTCCATAATGTTGTAAACTGCTGTTGATGTTATGTTGTGGCTTTTACTTGGTGGGGACGATATTCTGCCAGCTCTGCTTTCAGACCAGAGATGGTCTCCCCAAGAAACTGTTGAATTGAACTGGACAATAAGATGCTGGACTCTATGCATGGTACATGCTTGCAATGAAAGAATCATGACTGGATTTGAACTGTAATACTGCAATAAGGTGGAGGAATCTACCATGGGGGGAGGGTACAGGGAGGGGTTGGGGGAACCCCAGAGCCCATGAAACGGTGTCATAAAATGAAACGTAATAAAAAAAAAGGCATTGTTCTCTGAGGCTAGCTCCTGATACAGTTTGCTGTCATCATCACCGCACTCCCTCCACCCTGAATAGCAAAATGAGGGAAAGCATAATATAGTGAATTTTTCTAAAGATGAATTTAAGAATGGCTTTTTTGAGATACTAATGTATACTGGTAGATGAGGAGTTTCGGCTTTTAACTTTTTTTTTTTAACTAGAAAAAAGCATGTAAACGTATATCAGTTTCCCTCTTTTTTTTTTTTTTTTTTTTTACCTATCTCTTTAAAGACTTACTTTATTCATTTGAAAATCACAGTTGATAGGGGCTGGGGATTGGCAGAGAGAGACAGAGAGAAATCAATCTCCGATCTGCAGGTTCATTTTCCAAAAGACCACAGCAGCCAGCAGGAGCTTCCTCTGAATCTCACCCGAGTGGCAGAGACAAAAACATGTGAGCTCCTTTTCCCAAGTCGTTAACAGGGAGCTGAATCTTAAATGGAGCAGTTACTGGGACTCAAACTGTCCCTCATGTGGGATGCTGACGTCACAGATAGTGGCTTTACCTACCATGGCACAATGTCAGCCCTTTGCTTTTTCTCCTTTCACTGGCCCTTAAATTCTAAGAGCCCAGGATATAGTGGCTTAGATTACATTGAAGTACCAGAAGTTTTCTGTGGATCCCTGGATCATACCTTTAGGAATTCTGTGTAACCTCTAAGATTTCCCCAAGATTTTTTTTTTTTTTGAAGATTTATTTATTTTTTTTGGAAAGTCAGATATACAGAGAAGAAGATCTTCCATCTGATGGTTCACTCCCCCAGTGATTGCAACGACTGCTGCTGCGCTGATTCAAAGCCAGGAGCCTCTTCCAGGTCTCCCATGCAGGTGCAGGGTCCCAAAGATTTGGGCCATCCTCGACTGCTTTCCCGGGCCACAGGCAGGGAGCTGGAAGGGAAGCGGGGCCACCGGGATTAGAACCAGCTCCCATATGGGATCCTGGCTTGTTCAAGGAGAGGACTTTAACCACTACGCTATCATGCCGGGCCCTTCCCCAAGATATTATATTTGGTACGTCTTTGTAAAGATCGACAAGCAGGTCCTGAGGACATAAGACGTCCTGGAAGTTGTCCTTGGGGCACGCACAAAGGTGAAACGGAGGTAGTAGCATTCCATTTGGCTGTCAGAGTAGAGGCAGAGAGCTTTCTGTTCAGGAACAGAGTAAATGGAGCAGCTGAAGTAAGGGAAGGAAGTGACTGGGTCTGCTCAAAGTTCCAGAAGCAGCTCCACACTGAGAAGGCCAAAGTCAGGCCTTCACTAGCCTTTCATCTGGCTTTAATGTTTGCTTCAGTGGGGACTCAGCCATGACTTTGCTACTCAGTGAAATGGATGTTCCCCTGAACAAGTGAGTAGAATCACCAAAATCGGAAGTTAAGTGTATGAAGAGTGACTCAAACGATATATGGAATGGCTGGCATTGTGGCATGCTGTGTAAAGCAAGTATCTATGCTGTCACCACCCCACAAGGGCCATGGTTCATGTCCCGGATGCTTCACTTCCAATGCAGGTCTCTGGTAAGTGGTCTGTGAAAAGTAGTAGAAGGTGACCCAGATGCTTGGACCCCTACCATCCACACGGGCAAACAGATGAAGCTCCTGGATCTTGGCTTTGTTATGGTCCAGCCCTGGCCATTGTGTCCATTTGGAAAGTGAGTCAGGTTAAAAGATCTGTTTCCTTCTCTATAACTGTCTTTCTTCTCTTTCTTTCCTTCCTTCCTCCTCTTTTCTTTTCCTTTCTTTTTCTTTCTCTCTTCCTTCTTCCTTCCTTTTTCTTTTTTCTTTTCTTTCTCCTCTCCTGTCCTCCCTCCTCACCCTCCCTTCCTCCCTCTCTCTTCTTTCTTTCTTTCTTCCTTTCTTTCTTTCTCTCTCTCTCGCTCTCTCTCTGTTTCTCTCCCCTTCCCTCTCCCTCCCCCTTTCTGCTTCCCTTCCTTCCTTCCTTTTCTCTTACTTACTTGAAAGGCAGAATTATAGACGGAAGAAGAGAGCAGTCTTCCATTTGCTGGTTCACTCCTCAAATGCCTGCCACAGCTAGAACTCAACTGATCTAGAGCCAGGAGCCTCTTCTGGGTCTCCCACATGCATGCAGGGGCCCAAGGCCTTGAACCATCCTCTACTGCTTTCCCAGGCCATGGGCAGGGAGCTAGATCAGAGGTGGGGCAGGTGGCTAGCACCACAAGTGGAGGATTAGCATGCTATGCCATGATATTAGCCCCTGAAATTCTGCCTTTCAAATAAACCAAATAACTCTTTAAAAGGAAAATATAAAAAAGACACACAGCTCTCGTTCAGGTTTTCTCTTTGGAAAAAAAAAGTTCATGAAAAATGCCAAATCCATGTTTTCATGAACTTATCAAGGCCCTCTTTTTATTTTGTAGTGTTTTCTTTATAATAACTTTTAATGCAGTTTGTATAAATTTATCTAGGAAAGAGTATTTGCACTGATAAAACATTTAACCAATGGGTGAGGGTGGGGTGGAGGTCAGGAGGAGAAGCGTGGCAGGATGGAAAATAATACTGAAGCTGGTGGATGGATTTAGCAGTTGTGTGAGGATGGAACTAGTGTAAGTGCCAAAATGAAATGGACGTCTGGGAAAAGGAAATCACTTTCATGAACTTACTTTTAATGGAGATTGGAAGAAAGTGATGTACCAATTAATTTGTGAAGTGCAGTCTTTATTTCAGATTTAGTATGACAGAGTTCTTAGTGTTCATAGGCTAATTTGATCTAATGTCAGCCTTGGCGTTCTTTGACATGTAGTTAAGCTATTTGAGCGGTGCATGCAGTGCCAGCGAGATAGTCTAATGCACTTTGAATGTCAGAGCAAATTGTTAATTACAGGGTCATTTATACTTTGGTTTGAAAAAAATCAATCTAGGTCTTAATACGGTTTCTCTCAGAGTTGCTAGTGCTTCGGGTTCTTGTATAAGTGAAATAGAACGTGTGCAAGGTTAAAAGAAGGGTCCAGCAGTAAGGAGTCTGTTTGTGAGCAGTGTTGTTTCTCACATCCGTCAGAGACGGGTTGAGGAGCCAGCTAAGGAAGAAGAATGTAGCAGTGAAATAAATGCATGCAGTACTCATTGCTTTTTATCTTTGCCATTTAAACTCTGGTTATATGTCATATGAGTTCCTTCTTCAATAGTCTGGCAGGTAACTAATTAACCAGGAAGTTATTGTTGTACCCTTAATTTTAGGGAGGATGTGTTATTTCAGGACTTCTGCTTTGGAGTTCTCTTTTCTAAGGTCTGTGTCTGGTGTTCTTAGGGCAAAGTACAGAGGATTTTCTTTTGCTATGCAGTTATTGTGTCCTTTATATAGTTTTGGAGAATTCTTTCTGTTCTAATTCTGTTTATTGGTATCAGTGCATTTTTTTAGCCCGTCAAAAGGGAAGATGTGTTAGTATTTTGTGCTCAGTTATGCACTTTAGTTTTACTAGCATGCCAGCTTCTTCATTCCCCATCCCAAAATTAAGTTGTTAGATAAAGGTCCCTTCCATATTTATTTTTTGTCTCTGGAATCATTAGCACATGCTTAGAATAAAAGATAGAAATTATTATATAGCAAATTTGAAATTATTATTAGTTACGATTAAGGGCTCCTTTTTGTAGTTGCTGTTAAGATTTCTTTATTTACTGATTTGAAAGGCGAGAGAGAGACATTTCTTCCAGTCACTGGTTCACTCCCCAGATGGCAGCAATGGCTGGATTGGGCCAGGTTGAGGTTGGGATCCAGGAATTCAGTCCTGACGTCCCACACATCGGGGACAGGAGCGTGAGAGGTTGGACCATCTTCTGCTGTTTTCCC